TATAATTATCTTGAAACATTATCAAGTAGTTTAAGCCATTTTTTTAATGATGAAATTGCTCTTCCAAGAACATTTTTCACTAAGTTATTATGTTTATGTCTTAGCATCACATTTTTTAATATTTTTAATTGTATTATCATTTCATTCATGATATTTCAATAATTGTTAATACCAAAAAAAAAATAATAATAATACTTGGATAATTATATCAAACTCATCATAATTTTTTCATCTTTCTCTAAAAATTAGGGAGTACGAATTAATAGGAGAAGTTACTAATAGAAAAATTAATTAAGAATAATAAATATAATATTTAAAAACAATAATAATAAATAAAACAAACGGATTAATCCGTCAACCTGCGGGTTGACCCTAACTCAACCTGTAATCCATACAAATTGCAAAGTGAAATATATAGACCTTAACATATTTTTACTAGTTGGGTTAAAATTAGATTTACAGGTCAAATGAATTTTTGTCAGGTTTATGTCTAGTAAAGCAGTGACCTTTGTATTGAGTGAGTTTTTGGGAAAAAGATCTCTCCATATGGAAAGGTATGAGGTTCATGCCTTGCAAGTGTGTGTTCCACTAGGGTCACTAGGTTCACTAGGTTCACAGATGAAGTTGGTATTGAGATAAATGCACAACCAACAGGTTTTTTTCATGCCTAAATTTTTTCTAGGGGTTCCAAATTGGTCAGAAGTTCAAATACTGTTTTACTTCTCTCTTTATTTAGGTAATAAAGATGTATTTATATCGTTGGTTTCAAGCCAATTCCTCAACTTGAATCTTAACACAATGGGTTCAACTGTTATAGTTATTCCAGATGGGGAAGGGGTTGCCATTGAGAAGAAGAAATTCCACGTCTCTCTAATTCCTCTTATTTCCTTTCTTAGGAGGAAGAAAAGTAACCGTGACATGAGAAAACTGATTCACAGTATCAAGGTTGGAATTGCTCTTGTTTTGGTGTCTCCTCTCTACCTCCTTGATCCTCTCTACAAAAAAGTGGGAGAAAATGCTGTGTGGGCTGTAATGACTGTTGTGGTCATATTTGAGTTCTATGCAGGTTTGTTTTAGTTGATTTCAAGTTAAGTTTTAAATGTTTATGCTGTTTCTGCCTGCTGACACTCTTCAATGTAATTCCTTTCTCAGGCGCTACACTTAGCAAGGGCTTAAATCGTGGGATTGGAACCATACTAGGAGGAGGATTAGGGTGTTTAGCCGCAGCTATTGCCCAAAAAGTTGGTGGGATTGGCAATACCATAATTGTTGGCATTTCTGTTTTCATATTTGGTAAGACTTAAGCCCACTTTTATAAGAATGAAATTAAGGGTTTCGATAGCATAAAAAAAAAATTTGAAAAAAATAAAAAGGGAAAAGGGAAGTAGTAGGAGGTTTTTCGTTCCTAGTCCCATGACTAAAGAGATCAGATATTTCACTCTAAAATGTTCCACTAAGTTTGGAATTTCACATTATTTTTTCCTAACATGCTCGGCAAGCAACCAGCATGTGGTTTGTAGTTAATGATGAAAGTAGTTATACTTATTAGAAATATCTGGCTTAAAGATTGTGAGTAGAAAATTCAAACAAGCGAGCTATAATATTATGGCAATCAGAAAGTTCATATATTTATCTTAACTTGTGGTGTAACCATAGTCTCCCTAGCAATTTCTTAGTAGCATCTAATGATCCTTCAGTAATATGGATAAAGTGAAGCAGCACTAACTAAATCTGTCTACAACACATAATCACTTAATCTAAATTGTAAATGTCATCATTATTCAGTCTTGATCTTTATCTATGCAACCACTATTGTAAGTTTCAAAGCATCTGAAAACAAAGTCTTTCAGGTGCAGCAGCAACATACAGTAGACTGGTTCCAAGAGTCAAAAGGAGATATGATTATGGTGCAATGATATTCATTCTTACCTTCAATCTGATCGTAGTCTCTGGTTTACGGGCTGAAAAGGTTATGGAGGTAGCCAGGGAACGTCTCTCAACAATTGTCATGGGGTTTATTGTCTGCATCCTCACAAGCTTATTTGTTTTCCCCATCTGGGCTGGTGATGAATTTCATGATTCCACAGCCTGTAAATTTGAAAGCCTGGCTCGATCTGTTGAAGGTGAACTACTTCAGAAAATAAAGATGACAACAACAAAGACAGCAATATATAGTAATAATAACCCATCAGCTAACATCTAGCTTAATCTTCATCCAGAAAATAGGATGAATTTATTAACAGCTTAACCAAATATTGAAGTTAGGAATATAACTGGAGATATTCATGTTGACTCATGTCACTTGTTAATGACTTAAAGGTCATTTATTGTAGGATGCATGGAGGAATGCTTCAACAGGGTTGGGGACAAGCAAAATCAGTCCAGTGATAATTTCAATGGTTGCAAATTAGTGGTACATTCTAAAGCAAAGGATGAAACACTGGTATATAATATCCTGCTAGTCTCGCAACATTCTAGTAGCATTACAATCTTGGTTTCCATAAATAATCCAAAATACACAAACAATTCATTAAGCAGAAAACCAAAGTATTGTCAGAGACATTTTTCCGTAGTTGACTAATAAAAGATGCCATTATATGCTATTCAGGCTTAAAAAGTTTCAGTATGCTTCAGGTAAACTTTGCAAAATGGGAGCCATGGCATGGAAAATTTGGATTCTCATACCATTGGGAGAAATACTTAAAAATAGGAGAGGTTCTCAGAGATTTGGCTGCAATCATCATTTCACTTCAAGCCTGCCTTCAATCTCCTATACAGGTACATAGTGCTCATCTACTTTCTTTTTATCACATCACAAAAAATTTCATTTCAATGCATATTCTTAGAAAAGATTTCACTAACTTATTGTTGGTTCAAAAATTGTGGGTCACTAGTCCTCAGAAACACTACTGCAGTCAATTAAAGAACCATGTGAAGCAATTGGGTCATCACTTGCATGGACACTACGAGCACTTGGAGAGAGCCTCAAGAAAATGAGAAAATGCCAGTCCGAAAATGTCATAGTGCCAAGATTGAAGTCAATAAGGCTACAGTTAAGTCTTGTCAGGACTTCTTCCGCACTTGGCCAAGTGGAGAACGCTGACGGACTCGCAATTGCAAGCTTTATATTTTTGTTAATGGAGATGGTAAACAAGGTGGAAGACTTGGCAAAAGAAATGGAAGAACTAGGAGAACTTGCTGGTTTCCACGCAAAATAACTAATCTTGATAAAATAAAATAAAATAAAAATTAATGAGCACATTATGCTCTGCATTTTCATCTGCTCATTTTGGCTGAGTAAAAAAAATATGCATGTATTATCATTAAAATGACTACCCCTCACCCAAGAAAAAGAGAAGGATTTTCGAGAAAGGTGATTAACTCTTAAAAAAAGCAAGTATTGAGAGTGCCACCAGAAATATGAGTATCATTAATATGTTATTGTGTTTTCACCTCACAAATTAAATAATAATAATCTATTAGGGGGAAGCTTATTAATAGTTCATCATCTGCGATTAAGTGTATGTTTGAGATTATAATTGAGGGTTTTTTTTATAGTTGTATAATACTTTTAAATAAATATGTGTTTTGTAATTTTTTTGGATTATTTTTTAAAATTGTAAAAAGTTATAGTAAATTTATAATAGTTTTATATATAAAGATAGAAATCTCATTTTGAAGTTTTTTAATTATGACTTTTGCAAACACCTAATATTTAATTAATTATAAAATTATTCATTAAAATCAAATTTCATCTTATTCAATTACATCATAATTTATAATATTTTATTTAAATTTAACCTCTTGTTAATTTAAAATTTTTATTAAAAAATTAAAAATTAAATTACTTAAATTATAAAGTTCAAAAATTTATATATATCAATTAAAGTTTAAGGGCTTAATAGCAAATTTAGAGGCTTAATATCTGATTTTTCCTTAAAAATTTGAGGTTCTCCCAAGCCCAACAAGACGAGTAGCTTACGTATAAGAGGCAACAGGACAAAAATCAGTCCCTTTTGACTTTCTTTCAATTCCTCTGAGTGAATGGCAGATTCTCTTGTTGGAAAGGATTGTATAACATGTGCCGGCCGGCGTATCAGGAGGTGTATTTATTAATTGTACTTATTTTACTAATTTATATTATAAAAACTTGTTAAAATTAATTTTATTTTCAGCACAAAAAATCTGTGTATGATTGTAATTCTTCTATTATTATTAATATATCTTTTGTTTTATCAAAGAAAAAATATGTGTATGATGTTAATTAAGTAATTGATAAAATTTAAATTAATTTTTAATTTTTTTATAAAATTAATTTAAAATGTTATTAATGTATTTTGAATTTATGTCTTACATAAAAAACACATGATAAAATTTTTTTTTTAGTGTATATTCATTAGAGTGGTGTAGTTAATGTCACAAACAAAAAAATTAAGTATGGTAACATAAATTTATTTTTTTAGAAAATAAAAAATGAAGAAAAGTGGTGATCTTGAAAATATCATGACGCGATTTTTCCTTTTTTTCTTTTGTTGAATCACAGCTATGTAATGATATAATTTCCATCTCCATCCCCCATCCCCGAAATTTTCAATAGTATTATAAAAAAATTAAATGATTTATAAATACCTAAAAATCTACTAGATAGATTAAAAATTTTAATATTGTGCTTTTTTAGGGAAAAAAAATCATACTACAAAAATAATTGAATAATATATTAAATATGTATTATTTCATTCAAGTGCCTATCTTAAAACTAATTTTTTTCTTAAGTGATTTTAAATACACACTCTGCACGTTGATTTGGTACCCAAGATTTGAGCCATCTACTCACAAGACAATATTTATTTGCCAAGATCAACCATTAAAGTTATTTAAACCCTTAGTGAAAAAAGTGTAATGACCTGAATTCTATATCAGTGGAGAAATAGAAGTAAATTTAATATATATGTATGAAAATTAATAGTTATTAATAATTTAAGTTTAAAGGAATTTAAAAAATTATTAATCTTATTGCAAGCACTTCTCACTTGTGTAGGTCCCTGACCATTATAATCGGCAGCCTCCACACCATAAAAACAAGTACAATTTAAAATTTTTTTTAAAAATGTATTATCTCCGAAGAAAACTGTTATTATCTTGTTATACAAAAACCGTGACATTACACCTATGCCATGGAACGATTAGCAGTCAGTTACAAAAGACATGACATTACCCAACCCAGCCAATTCCACCTCAATTTGAGAAACATTATGTTCTCTTTTCTTTTTCTTGGCTTTTTTGGGCCAACAAGGAACACTATGTACATACAGTGAAGGAAGCTGATCCTGTATTGGAAGCAGAACTTAATAATAATGTCTACCTCACTTTCCAAATTCGACCTGTAAATGTTTAGGTGGGGAATTTAATATTTGAGTAGGTGTCCGTTACGCAATAGAATCTCACTTCTCTCTTCAATGCTCTTAGAAAAAGAAAGTTTGCAGGCTTTCAATGGGCAATGGGATTAAAAATCGAGGGAAATGACCGCTTGGAATTGGGTGGTGTTATTGCCACAGCCACTAATGTTAATGCCACAGCTTTTTTTAGTTATTTGACTATTATACCCCTCGTTTGAATCCAACTTGCAGCAGTCACTACCTTCTCCGCGTGGGTTAATGGTCAAATAACTAAAAAAAGCTGTGGCATTAACATTAGTGGCTGTGGCAATAACACCACCCCTTGGAATTCCATCTAACTCGTTAAAGTATAAACTAATTTGGCATTATTTAACTCTACTTTCATTAACAAATCAAGTTATATATTGAGAATAGAGACTCACAACTAACTGATTTTTCGAGATTTAAGTAATAGAAGATGCAGATGATAAGTTACTTCAACTAATTGTTTTTTCAATATTTAAGTTTGGTAAAAGGTGCAGATTTTCTCTTAAATTTGTTACAATAAATAAATTGTCATATAAAAAAAATATTAACATAATTTATCACTTTAAAATTTTTTGTTAAAGAAATTAACTTAAATTTAATAGTTACTGTAAATTTTTTATTAGATTTTAAGAGTAATAATCCAACAATAATTGTTAAATTTAGATAAGTTATTCTTAAAGACGTGCAATTTGCTTTAGTGTGAAAATATTGAGTTGGTAATTTGTAGATTTGGATTTTAAATTAGAATAGTGATTGGTACATAGTCTAATTTAACACATTATTAATATACTCATTAAAAATCACTAATTTTCAATATAAAATTAAAGGTAAATAAGTTTAAAAATATAATCATGCATACAAAATGTAA